AGGAAAAGCTTGATGGGCCGATAAGCCAGAACATAGTGTGAACAACAATGCGAGAAGCCGATAATGCCTAAAAATAGTGTTGCTGGGTGCTCGAGGAACGATAGATTTGATGCGGATAAGTGCCCTACTTTACGCAGTGGCGAGGATAATGGGAATGGGGAAGAGGAGAACTCCCTCCCCCATAAAGCGGGGGGTTACGACGAATGGCACAATGGACTCCGTCGTGTATAAAAAACGCTCGAGCAAAGGTGCTCGAATACGGAAAGCATAACTCTAAAGGATACCTCACCCAGATTTAATCAACATAATTACAGATTACGATTCCGTAGATAAAAGTACACCCCCACCCCTGAATGAACTAGGGGCACTTTGAACCCTGCATAGCGACAACTCTCTGGATTTCTAAAATTTCAGCAGTGACTTTTAAAGCCGAATAACTTACGTTCAAAATATTATTAGCTAGGTTTTGGGGGCTTTGAAGGGATCTTTTACTTACGATTGGACAAACATTGTGTTTTCTTAAGAATAATTGCAGTTTAGAAAGAGAAAGTAACAATACGAGCGGATGGCCCCTTGCATTTTGTTCATGGGGTTAACCGTCTCTAAGATATTTAGCATAAAAGTTCAGCCGTGCTCCTTGGAATAGGGGTGCCGCACAGTGGACCGGGTCAACGGGAGAAGTCTGACAACATTCAGAAACAGTAAAAGCTTTTAACTCCGTTTATACGAATCTTTGAGGGTTTAAAAGTGGTTCCATTGGTTTCCTCGTAAAATTGTCTACTGGAAGCACCCCTCAAAATTTAAAATGCCACGAAACAAACATCAAAATTTGCAGTTTCGGTCGAAAATTTCATGTCCGACCTTTCTGATCGACTCGATCCACTGTGCGCCGCGCTACTGAATTCGGGCTAGCGGATAGAAAGGAAGAGTATTGACCGGTTCGTAATTTCCCCTCATCTTCCGTCGCACAATGGTCTCGTTAGCCAGAGATGATTACTCAACCCCACGCCGCGCCGGGCACTTTTCCCCACTCGCTCTTAACGTGCTTCTCAACGGAACCCGTGAATCAGTCAACGGTTGGAGAGGGAGCGAGAAACACCGAAGCTGGATTTTTGCGAGGGACTTAAGTTCACGTTTCCGCGTAATGCCAACCTTCGTTACAACAATACGAAATTCTCTCCGGGCGACGGTGCACCTGCCTGCAACTTCGGTTTCCACGTTGGCAGCAATGACGACCGCATCCAAAATTTTCGGCCCACCACAGGAGGTGGGTCTAGAAATGAATGCATGCAAACGCTGGCGGCAAGTCATCAAACCGCAAAGTTCAGTTCTTGACTTCTGGCGAGTGTTTCCCTTTGTCGGTTGGCGGTTCTGTCAAATTGGGCACAACGTGAACGAGATACACTCGCAACAATTTCCCATCACAGGGTGTCAAGTTCTTTTTTCATTTTGGGAAATCCTGATTTTTGACTGATAAATCCTGATTTCATATTTTATCAAAACCTGATTTTTTGCGGACAAAAATTGGCGAATATAACTTCAAACGGTAGCTCGATAAAAAAATCCGATCGGACGGCCGACTTTTCTTGAATCCTGAATTTACGACCGATTTTTCCTCAAATCTTGATAGAATCGGGAAAATCCTGATGCTGGACACCCTGCATGAGTACACTTTTAACTGATTTATGAATACAGATGAGTGGTGTGGACAGAGGGGGGGGGGGGTTATGGCCATAAATCATGCCTCAATCCTACGACAGAGAGACTTTCCTCACTTTTTTTTCTTTTACTCTCTTTCTCTAAACTTCTCGATTGACCCCAGGAATCAGAGGAAGCTAAAAATTAGTAAACCTTTGACTGATTCATGGTACATAAATGAAAATCAGGAGAAGGAAAGGCTTCCAGGACTTTATGTCCACCTACTTTTCGTCCATTAAACAAATGTCCACCGCTATATATGTCCACTAAACGTTAAGTCCAGTCTTTATTAAGTTCACATGATTTAATGTCCAACCATGAATATGTCCAAAATTGCCCAAATTGTGGACATGTTATGTCCACATTTTTTTAATCTCATTTAAATGACGGGAACCACCTCAAAAATAAATGCATACTACTGCTAGTTAGTTAGTTAGTATATTTTAAGACGTTCAACGTCACATGTTATTAACGTCTTTACAGAGAATTTTGAAAATGGGAGTACATACGAAAATTTAGATTTTTAAATTAAAACGCTCCAATGCCAAAGTACACATTTTTCAGTAACAGATGCAGCCAAAATTGAAAGTCCTCTTTAACTAGTTATTTCAATCTTCAATATTGTCGGATACTGTGCAACGCCTCTGACGCGGAATAGTTGCTTAAAGCGTTGCGGCGCGCAGCGTGACACGCGCATAGGCGCCTACAAACCTAACGGGATACTTCACGCGTTGCGCAATGCGTGAAGTATCCCGTTAGGTTTGTAGGCGCCAGTGCGCGTTCTGCGCTGCTAACACGCCGCTCCGCTCTGTGTTAGGCTCTAATATTTAAACTCGCGGAGTCAACGTTTTTCAACTCATGATTTTGAAACGTTTGCACTCTCTGTATTGATTATTCCCTTTTAAACTGATGAAAAAGAAATATGTACTACTGGAAAATATAATGTGTTTTTTGTAAATTTAATAGTGGTTCTGTGTCAAATTTAATGATTTCCAAAGCATTCAAATTTTTCCTTTTATGTTTTGGGCTTTTACTGTGCTGCAGCGTGGTGTAAGCACTACTAAACGCTCAAAATTGGACGTATTTGACTCAAGGAGGGCTATGTACGAATAAGTTAAACACAAAAAATTGCGTGCTTCTTAGTTTTTTTCCGCTTTTATTAATTTTTGTATAGTTTTTTTCATCACAACAACGGCTCATTGAGATTCTTATCGATGCCATTGCTTGGAAAAGGTTTTACAAATATTTACCACGGTTTAAAAATGGAAATGTTTTTAAAATGAAGTAATCAATTTCATTAAAAAAAATGTGTATTTAAGGCATATTTTAAATCGGAAATTTTAAGGATAGAAATGAAACCAAGTATTTACCAAAGACAATTTGAAAAGATTAATCAGAAGAAGAAATTAACATTTCATTTAAAATATGAGTTACGATAACAACACCTCATTCTCTCTTAATTTTCTCATTTCGATATTGTCAATATAATTTTACTTACGGACTAAAATATGACGCTTGAATTTGATTTTAGTGGACTTTACGTTTGTGGACTTAACTTAGTGGACGTTTAAGTAATGGACTTAATAATAGTGTGGGCTTTTGTGGGCGTAAAAATTGTGGACGAAAAGTCTGTGGACGTAAAAAAAAGTGGACATAAAGTCCGTGTACCAAGAAAAGTTAGAAAAAAGTAAAAGTTTCCCTTCTTTAGGTTTAAGTTATGATTTCTCGCTAGGGAGACCATTCTTCTACGGAAGATGAGAGAAAATGGTGTACTGGACAACACTCTCTCTCTTGGTCGTTCACGTCTTTCATATTAAAAGCTCATAAACGGTTGATCCTATCAAAAATTGCTGTAAATTCTCAAAGTCATTTGCGCTTTTTCCAAGGTCGAGGTTAAAACTGCTTTTTTACAACGAGACCACACAATACTGCCAACTTCAAGTTAAGGACCCCCCCCTTCCTTAGCCAACATAATTTTTAACGTCTTTGGGTTGAGCACCAAAAATCACCATCATGTACATCTTTTTAAAAATATTAACTCGGAAATGTCCCCAAAGTAAAAAAAAAAAAAAAAAAACACGAATATTTTGTTCAAATTTTGAGGGGCTTACTTTTACGTTCAGAGGAAATAAAAATCTCATTCCGACCCTAAAAAACCATCCCTCCAATGCTGATGACTATACCTGCGACTTCCAATAAACAGGGTATGCTTGAAAGTGGAAAAACTGAGCGCCAGATGGAGGGAATATTGACTACATGTCAAGCGAAAAGATTGAAAGAAAATGGTGAGGTCATAAAACACCCGAGGCGGAGAATATCGGCACTCGCGTAACGTGTATACATTGTGTGGATACTATTATGAAGGGAGAACAGAGAAGTTTAAACGGAGCAGGCAATTTCAGACAACCCAAAGAGCTTTTTATCAGGATGCTACGAAAGAAAAGCGTAACTGAAACGAGGAAAGCGTTTGAAGGGAAACAATTTACAAATTACATCGTAATATATCTGCAAGTGACATCGCGCGTGATCAGAGCACAAAATTGATCGAGAAGCTGCAATCAAACTTCAAAGTTACCATAGTTTCATTGAGAAACGACAGTCCTCTACTTGAAATTCACTGCTAACCAGGAGTTTTCTTTTTTTTGTTATTTTTTCTTTATTTTTCGTTTCAAATTTAATTTTGTTATTTTTTTCTTCTTTCAATTAGATCAACAATGGAGATAAGTTTGCTGGTACAGAATAGTAATGGGTCAATCTACAGATCCTTATCACCCGGCCAAAGTATCACAAGCGCCATGCGAAGTTTAAAAATGTCCGCCGTCATTTTATTTTCCTACGGAGAAATTGTTCAAAGAAGTTTTCCGAATATTTCATTGAATTTTCTTCGTGCTGCCGATAAAATTTAGTGAAATTTTCAGACTGATTCAACCAACAATTTCTTTGTAAAAAAATAAAATGCGCGCCGAAATTGTATAACGTCGCATGACGCTTTGTGATACTTTGGCCGGGGGGTGACGAGATATTGAAACTTATTCTCGACTGCCGCTATCATACGGAATGTCAGAGCGTTGAATTTTTCATTTTTTGGAAGGCTGCAGCCTTTTTTTAGGAGGACATTGCGGAGGGGTTTTGCGAATTTTTTGTGAGCAATACATAATCAACGTAAGAAAAGTGCGTCTTAACACTGAGAAAAAGCCAAAAATATAAAGATGACAGAAGGAAAAGATATTATGAAAGAAAAACAATCTCAAACATCAATGAAAACATACAACAAGAGAAGAACAGCAAAGGTGCAAGAGTACCTTGAGTTGTACATCGGTCTTCCGGCACTGTCCAGTAGAAGTTCCCCTGGCCGGCTGCAAGAATACAATCACCTCTTACTAAAATCTAATTCATTATACTGAATAATTGCATGGCAAATGTTACAGTCATGTCATGGAAGTAAAATACATTATTTTCAATCATGAGTCACTCATCCCAGATACTGTATCGAATCTGAAAATCTAAGGCAAAGGGTAGCTCATCCAGTAGAGTTCATAGCGGAGATTTGGTCCAAACTGTGAGTCTGTATCTATTACTTTCTCGAAATAGTGGCATTACAGTTGGGAATTTTCTATTTTCTTCAACCGCCATTTTGGCTCAGTTCAGTTTTTGCAGATTTCCGTCGAAAAATTTCGTTCTTTACTCTCTTTCCGGTAAAGGGTCGTTCCAAGGGCCGGTTGCAAACTTTAGCGAGAGCAAAAAGTGGAGTTACTTTTCACAGAAAATGGCTCAAATATCACAATGAGCGCATCGGAAAAGTCTGAAATACACCCCCACTTTCACAATCTGCGTAAGAAACATGCGTTTTTTTGAAGCCTCGCGCTCCAAAAACGATACTCCGGCACAGGTGAACATTCTGTTGGAGGAGTTGTTCCACGCAACTCTTGCACACTAGGATGCTACGCAATATTCAATATGGCCGACGCACCAACCCGCCAAAACACACTTGACGAGACGGAATTTTATCAACCAGTGTGTTCGTATATTTAGATGGGGTGTTTCCTCACGATTTGCGCGTGGGAGCGTCAGCCATGTTGAATATTGATAGCGGCCTAGTGTGCATGGGTTAGATGGAACGACGCATCTGACGAAATGTTCACATGTGATATCGTTTTTGAAGGGGCACAAAATACGAATATTTTTTACGCAGATTGTTTGGTCATGAGTGTACAACAAACTTTCCCGATGCACTCATTGTCATTTTTGAGCCATTTTCTAAGAAAAATCACTCTTCTTTTTGCTCTATCTGAAGTTTGCAATAGACCCGTTGGCGAAGAAACATTTAATTACGAAGAATGGGAGGAAGGATAGCCCGTTGGATGAGGGCACCGTATTTTTCCCCCATTCCTCCATTGATTGACAAATAATTAGAAATATGATAAGGAACGAAATTAGTTTTCCGCGAAAACCGAAGGTCACCATCTACACAAAAAATCGGCCGGACAAATAACATGTGTAAAATTTTAACTGTCCACCATTACAAAACATCCGTAAATAAAGACCTGTGGCTTGAACAAAATGTCACACATTTTCTACTCTATCGAATGACATACTTAAAGAAAGGGGTGTAATTTGAAGAAAAAGTAGGGTCTCTGCTCCCCTTCAAGGAGGCTCACAAAAATTTTGGATGGGTTCCAAAAAAGAAGTTCCCTTTGACCTATGAGCACTGCCAAAATTTCATATTTCTGAATACAACCGTTAAAAAATGAAACAAGAGGGAGGACGAACGTATATAATACCCTGCATTTTCTTCAGATAATAAACTATCAGATATTTTTATTGGCATGCGCGGTTTTCAGAGAATTTTCTTAAGCAGGAAATGGAAAATTGAGAGAAACTTTGCATGATATTGATAATAGGCTAGCGATGATCATCATAAAACATAGGGCGGTGTTACAGGAAAGTTGCAAACTCGAGGTCAAAATCTTTTCTAAATTTCATCATTGATTCATGCTGAGTATTCGTGCCACGGAAAAACGAGTATTTATACATGTAAATATCCCATAATTGGAGAATACGTCATAAAATTACAACGGTCTTTCAAAAAGTAGGTTTCCCTCTTTCCTTCCTCGAGTAAGTTCAGTGGCGTGGCGTGCTTTGCGATACATCGATTGATCTGCCATTAAACCTATGGAAAAGGTTCGATGAACAGGGTGTTCGCAACGAACACCTTGATAATCGATTCTTCGCCATAGCTTCAAATGGAGGAATATCGATAATCGATTACTCACCACTGCTTGAGTTAGAAAAAAAATTCAAATAAACATTGGAAAACCTACGATGAACCTACTGCTTCCTATCAGTATAATTTTTTTTTTTTTTTTTCTTCTTTGCTTCTTGGGTTTCTCCTTACAGATCAATCATTTATTAATCGTATTTTGCTGGGAATTTGCTATTTTGCTTTTTTACAGGGATTGCATGAAGGTTAAATTTCCTGGTGAGCTTGTTCAGCGACTGCTATATCAAACCCCAAAGGACCCGCGGCGTGTCAAGCAGTGGGGTTTTAGTTTCAAGTCCTTAGAAAATGTCATTTTCTCAAAACATGATTTTGGTGCAGAATCAAAGTGCTATACAGGAGTTTCCTTTTTATAAATAAATGTTTTTTAGTTGAACGAGGCAACGACGGAAATAAAAATCCCGCTCTACGACGAGGGTTTATGCCCCATCACTAATTATGCACTTGATTCGGGAAAGAAAGGAGCACCTGAAAAATTAAACGAAAAACTGGAGTTCGCGTATCGTCCTTACGTTATGTCTTTCGATTACGTGTTTCGGCGGCAGCGATGAAAAAGAGATATTATGGCACCGGGTGGAGTAAGACTTGGCAATTTTTGACAGCTGTTATAAAAATACTAGACCAAGGCTTCGTGCAGCCCTCCAGAGACCGCACCGCCATTTTTTGTTCTTCTTTTTTTTTCTTTTTTTTTTCTTCAGGCTCTTGACTTATGAAATTCTCTGTAAAATGCATAGTATCCTCGCGAATACATGTTCTCTCTCACCTCCGCCGATTGCATCTATTGTTTCTTGTACCGTCTGTTCAGCTATTCTCCATGTCAGGTTTACATTTAATTTAATAGATGCACCATGTTCCTCCATAACTACTCAATTAGACGGGTGATGCGAGCATTCTCGCTTGGCAATTCCTTTCGCTGCGAACGGACTCTCGCGAAAAGGCCAATTGTCTACTATTGATTATCTGTCCGTATGAAATTTTAATTTCAATCAGACCATTAGATTAACTCCCTTCCCTCCGCCCGAAACCTATAGTTGCCAATTTTGGCGAGTGTCTCTCGATTGAAAGGGAACTCGGAGTCAGAAAAAGTAAACACTCTTGCAAGCCTGTTAAAAATGATCAGTAGAAATCAGTGACCAAAACCAAAAGACTCTAATGATGCCACTTCTATAAGGACTGATCGTAACTGAGATGGGCTAAAACCGATTAATGTCCGGTTTTAGTACCTTTAATTATGGATTTATCCTCTGATTAAAATTTAACGAGCACTCTTGGTACCTGTTCAATTTTAACGGAGGTTGAGACTCTTTGGTTGTAAAATTTCGCACCGGAACCGAAAATATATCAGAGTTCTGAAAGAGTCCATAAAACCTCGAATTTAAAATGTGCGGGGCAGTGGCGTGGCGTGAATGATCGATAATCGATATTTCCCCATTTGAAGGTATGGTGAACAATCGACTATTACGGTGTTCGTTGCGAACACCCTGAATGTCGATATTTTCCATAGGTTTAAATAGCAGATGAATCGATATATCGCAAAGCACGCCACGCCACTGGTGCGGGGAGTTCCTGGGGCCTTAGAAGTGATGAGGGGGCCCCTGAGGCCTATGAAATAAAATTGTGGAAAGGTTATCGGTATCCTTGGGGCCTTAAAAGCGACGACAATGCCCCAAAGAATCAAAACAGCGACAATCAGATTTATGAACGCGATTTGTGAGACATCAGAGGGTATAGAAAGGGCCTATATTCTCAAAATGAAAACATTTGGCGGTAAGTGTAGATCCTCTGAACAAGATTTACATTTGAAACATTTAGTTTCGTCGGAGGGGCCTCCCCAGAAATGAAAAATCCAATATTCATAGGCATCATCGGGGCTTGAGAGATATCAAAAGAGATAAACGGGATCCCGTGGTTTTTAAAAAGATTGAAATTTAATGCAATCTGTACTGCTTAGATAGCAGGTAAAGAATGGAAATTGTAAAAGAAGGAGTGCACAATATTCAAGACCGGTAAATAACATTGATAAACTGCTGCAACTATGTACAAAACGAGTGATCTTGGCCGAAATGGGACGAACAAGTATTACTGCTCCCGAGCCACACACGTTGCCTATCGAGATATTGAAGACGATTGATCGGAACTAGTGAGTAACAATGTGAGTGAGTTGTGACGCTGTTTGAGCAAACCGAGGGATCGTGGCCAAAATGAGACGGGCGACTATTACCGTTCAGGGCCGGATTAAGGCAGAGTACCTGTATAGCGAAAGTACAGACAGATGTGAAACTCCGAAAATCCATCAGGCCTTCACCGATGCCTCCGCGAATAAAATTAGGGCCCAGAAATGCAGCCAACCTATGAATTTCAATTATCCAGAGCGATTTATTATTACAATTGTTGCGAACCATCGTTTATAAAGCACGTATTTGACTTAGTTTTTGCATAAATTTACTCATTTTTGTGGTAGAACGCTTATTTATGTACTTTCTTAGCCATCTTCGTTAGAATTGGAATCTACAGACTGGCAGTGAAATTTTGTGCGTTAGAAGTTGCGGTTAGAGGGGTGGCTGCACTTTTGGGCCCTAAGCCTAAGCCCTCCATGAAGCGATATGTCCATACTCTCGCTATACAGGTACTCCAGATTAAGGGGGTGGCCACATGGGCCGCGGCCCATGGCGGCAAATCTATAGGGGGCCGCAAATTTTGCAATTTTTTTTAAATGTTGGTATAAAAAAATATCGGATTTAGAAAAAAAAAATTACAAACGAGGAAAGGCGACAAAATCTCTCATTTCCTGAGAGTATACTAATTTCTAATTTTGTCGTCTTTCAGTGATACAAGAGACAGCACCTTTAATTAGTCGAGTTAAGAGAGAAACGAAACACGCAATTTGGCCTGGAACGGCGCGGCGCAGAGAGCAATGATTATGAGGACATGAGATGAAAAGCAGAAGCCATCGGCGCGGCGATCGGCATGTAACACATATCAACGCCTACAAGACTGCACGAATACTTCATACATTGCATCAAACACAGTGCGGTCATTGCGGTCAGCGTGAAACGGATAGCGCCTACAAGAATGCAT